ATGCTAGACAACACCCCAACTATAGAGCTGGGACAACATGGGCTTGAATCACCCTCTAGAGCTGAACCAGTGACAGCACACCCACAGTGGGACCACTGGCAAACTTCAATGTAGGGTGTCATCTAGTGCTGAAATAGTAGAAGTGACTATAGGCTCAGAGAAAGTAAGTAGCCTTACTTTCATCAATTCCCAGATGATGTTGCACACAAAACATCAAAACATTCAGAAAATCGTGACCTTACCTAAAGGTCAAGATAAGGTACTAGAAACTAACCAGATAGCAAACAGTAGAGGCAAACTCTCAGATGGAGAATTTAAAACAGCTGTTTTTCCTTGCTGAATTTAACTTTACAAGCTTCAAGAACACAGAAAAATTCAATACTCTAACAACAGCAATATGGAAGAAATTTTTAAAAATCTAACAAAATTTAAGCCAAAAAAATACACTAAGCAAACTAAAAACATGACAAATTATCAATAGCAGGACAAGTAAAACAGAAGAATTTTTAAACAGGCTATTTGAGGGCTGGAAGTGTGAAGAGACCTACCTAGCACGTGTGAAGCACTGAGTTCAAACTCCAATCCCATTTAAAAAAAAAAAACAGGCTATTTGAAAATGCATAGTTGAAGGAGAAAAAAGGATGAAAAGGAATGAAGAGCGCTTATCGGAACTTTGGGACAGTGTTAAAAGACCAAGTATTTGAGTTTGGAGGTTCAAGGGGGATCTGAAAGTGCTATAGGGGTAGAACATTCATTCAAAGAGACCACAACAAAAAAATTCCCCAAATCTAGAGGATATAAAGATCCAAGTAAAGAAAGATCAAAGGTCACCAGTCAGAGTTAACGCAACAAAGTCTACCCCAAGAAATACTATAATTAAACTTTCAAAGGAGAAAGAGAGAAGACTCGAAAGGCACAAAGAGAAAAGGAACAAAGAACATACAAGCATTTCCTGACAGCAGACTTCTCAGCAGAAACCTTATAGGCCAGGCAAGACTGGCATGAGATTTTTCACAGTACTGAAGGGGAAAAAATGACAACCAAGAATACCATTCCCAGAAAAGCTATCCTTTAGAAGTGAAGGAAAGATAAAAGCTGAGAGAATGTATCTCCACCAGACTGTCCTACAAACTAAAAGAAAGACATTAATGGGAAAGAAGAAAACAATAGAAGGTATAAAATTCACTGATAAGAGGAAACTACACAAATTCAGAATTTTCTTAAGTTATAAACATAGTTCACAAACCGTATCTATACTATGAAGACTAAAAAACAAAACAAGTGGGGGAGGTGGCCCAAACAATACCTGTGAGTAAATGTAACAATAAAATAAAAATTAAAAAATCTACATTTTTTCTGAAGAGTATTCCTTTGTATGGGTGAACCACAATTACTCATTTACATCAATATGTAAATGAGTATAGTTTTCAGTTATTAAAAATAATGCTGGTGTGAATATTTGTAAAAGATTTGTATGAACATGCAAAGAACAGAAACAATGGATAATAAGACAGGTTTGTGTTTAACTTTTAAATAAAAGGTCAAATTGTTTTCTGATGTGAGAAAAACAATGAAAACAACTACGTTAATGTTAAGAGATAAGCAATATAACAGATGTAAAATTCAAAATGTGGAAAGGAAGGAATGCAAGGTTAGAGGGTTTGGGGTATTTTTTAGGTTTGGGGTTTTCCTTGTTTTTGTTTTTAGTAGTACTGGGGTTTGAACTCAGGTCCTCAAGTTTGCTAGGCAGGCACTCTATAACTTGAGCTATTTGAGACTGGAAGAGTGAAGAAACCAGCCCTTTTTGCTTTGGTTATTTTCTAGACAGGGTCTCGCTTTATGCCTAAGCAGGACTGGATCACAACTGTCTTATCTATGACCTCCCATGTAGCTGGGATTACAGACATGTATCACCACAGTTTATTTGTATTGGCTGAGATAAGGGAGGGGAGACTCTGAACCTATCTCGAGGGCTGGCCTCAAGCCACAGTCTTCCTGATTGCCTCCCAAGTAGCTAGGATTACAGATTTAAGCAAGTACATCTGATGTAGAGGGTTTTTTTCTTTTTTCTTCTTTTTACTTTTTTTTTTTTTAACATGATACTAGGGTTTGAACTCAGGGAGTCATGCTTGGTAGGCAGGTGCTCTACCACTTCAGCCACCATTTTTGTGTTGAATATGCTCGAGATAGGGTCTCATGGAATATTTGCCCAGGCTGGCCTCGAACCATGATCCTTCTGATCTGTGTCTCTGGAGTAGCGAGGATTACAGGAGTGAGCAACTGGCACCTGGCTCCAGCTTAAAGTTTTTATTAGCATATTTTCTGTTTGTTTCTCTTCTTATCTCTATAATCATGTTATCATTTCAAAATAGCTTGTTGTGATCAAAAGATTTCAAAATAAAAATCTATAACAGCCAAACTACAAATAATGGACATACTACTGTAGTAAATCACAACTACAAAGCAAGACTGTAAGAGATGACAGAACTACTATAAAATTAGAAAACAAGTTACACGCTGGCTGAAATAACCTTACCATTTGATAATTACTTTAAGTGTAAAGTGAATTAAGTTCTACAATCAAAAGACATAGAGTAGGCCAGGGATGTAGCTCAGTGGCAGAATGCTTGCCTAGCATGCACAAACTGGGTTCCATCCCCAGCACCACCAAAAAAAATAAATAAATAAAATAAAAAAAGAGGGGGGAGGCCTGAATGGATGAAAAAATAAGACCCAATTATATGTCACTTACAAGAAATGTACTTCACCCTCACATAGACTGAAAGTGAAGGGATGGAATAAGATATTCCATGCAAATGAAATCAAAAAGAAAGTCAGAACAGCCATACTTACGTCAGATAAAACAGAATTTAAATTTACAACAGTAAAAAAGAGACACGGAAGGTCATTTTATAATGATAAAGGGGTCAATTCATCAAAAGGAAATAACAATTCTAAATATATATATGCAGCTAACATTATAGCACTCAACTATGTAAAATAAATATTCATAGACCTAGAGGGGGAGGTAGCCACCAATGCAATAATATTAGGGGAGTTCAACATCCCACTTTCAGCAATGGGCAGACCATGCAGACAGAAAATTGAGAAACAGCAGTTAAATTATACCCTGGATCCAACAGATATCTATGGAGCATTTCATCCAACAGTTGCCAAATACGCATTCTCATCAGTACATGGAACATTCTCCCAGACAGACCATAAGACAGGCCACAAAAGAAGTCTCAACAAATTTTTAAAAACTGAAATCATGCTGAGTACCTTGTCTGACCATAATGCAATTAAATCAGATATCACTAAGAAAAACTTTGGAAATTACACAAAGTATGCAGAAATTGTAAAATTACTCTAAACAATCAATGAATACAGGAAGAAATTAAGAAGGAAATTACAAGATCCCTTGAAACAAATGAAAATGTCAACACAACATAGCAAAACCAATGGGATACTGCAAAAATAGTAACAACAGGGAAGCCAATAGTAATCAATACCCACATGAAAGAAACAGAAATATCTCAAATAAACAACGTATCATTCCATCTCAAAGAACTAGAAAAAGGAGGAAAATCCAAAATTAGTAGAAAGAAATACTAAAGATCAGAATAGAAATAAATGAAACAGAGATTTAAAAAAAAATACAAAGGGTCAATAAAATGGAGAGTTAGTTCTTTAAAAAATAAAATGGACAAACTCTCACCGAGACTAAGAAAGAGAGAAGACTCAAATAAACCAATTGAATGAAAAGGGAGACATTATAACTAACACCACAGGAAAAAAATAAATAAAAGCATAAGAAACAAACTAAAATCTTCTTCTCAGCAAAGGAAACACTCAACAGAGTGCAAACACAACATACAGAATTTGCATTCGAGATATTTACAAACTATACTTCTGACAAAGGGTTGACAACCAGAATACATAAAGAACTCCAAAAACTCAATAGCAAAAACAAACTATCTAAATTGAAAAATGGGCAAGGGGCTAGGCATGGTGGTACACATCTGTAATCCCAGATACTCAGAAGGCAGAGATCAGGAGGATCATAGTCCAAGGCCAGCCCAGGCAAAAAGTTGGTGAGACTCCCATCTCAACAAACAAGCCAAGAGTAGTGGTACATACCTGTGGTTCCAGCTACAAGGGAGGTTTAGGTAGGAGGATCTCAGTCCAGAGTTGGAGAAACTGAGAGAAGAACAATGGTTACTAGAGGCTGGGGAGAGTGGCAGGAAGGGGGAGACAGGGAAAAGTTGATCAATGGATACTGAGTTAGATGGGAATAAGATGTTCTGATGTAGTACTGCATAGTAGGATGACTACAGATGATAATAATGTACTGTGCATTTCAAAAAAGGTAAAAGAAAGGATATTGAATGCTTTCATCATAAAGAAATGACAAGTGTTTGAAAAGATGTATTTAACCTGACTTAAACACTACACAATGTATGCCTATGTAAGAATAACACATAGTACCTTATCAATATGTACAAACTTTATCAGATTTAATTTTTAATTTAAAAAAACCAAATATGCTTGGGGCAGTAGCTCACATCTGGAATCAGAGCTACTTGAGAGGCAGAGATCAGGAGGATATGTTCAAGGTCAATCCAGGTAAAAAGTTAGCAAGGCCCCATCTCAGCCAACAAACTAGGTGTGGTGGTGTGCATATATATGTGGGAAGCCATAGGTAGGAGCCAGCAGGAAGCCCTGAGTTCAAAGCACCATACCACCAAAAAATAAATAAAGACAAAAAAGAAATGCCATACAAAATAGGAAATAATCAATGACTTAAATTTGGATGGACATATTAATATTACTAATTATTATACTAATGCTGATATATCTTTAAAATAAAATTAATTTTATCTAACAAAAAAAATTGTTTTGGTGGTACTAAGGTTTGAACTCAAGGCCTAGTTGAGCCACTCCACCAGCCCATTTTTGTGATGGGTTTTTTCAAGATAAGGTCTCACAAACTATTTGCCTGAGCTGGCTTCAAACTGCAATCCTCCTGATCTCTGCCTCCTGAGTAGCTAGGATTAGAGGCATGAGCCACCAGTGCCCAGTAACAAAAAATTATTAATCAGAAATTGAACTAATTCTTTGCCTAGTTGGAAACCTCTTAAAAGTTAAAAGCACAGTAGCTATTACTTCTAGAAAAGCAATTTTAACTATGGATCTTTCTATTCTGTTCATAACCACCTGGAAACAACAATTACAAGGTCTCCTACATTTAGAGAGAACAAGGAAGGAAAATGAAGTCTACTATTATTAGCTTGATGTCCTGAGACACATTTCCAGGATACCATGAATCCTGACTTTGAGGATAACAAAACATTCACAAACAGATTACTTCTAGAGTTTGAAGCAGTAATTATGAAAGTGTCAAGTCTGCTCACTACACCACGAGGAAGCTTTTTCCAGTCAAACTCCCTCCACAGAAACACATACACACACAATTCCATTCTGCAAATCCATGTTAAAACTGAGACAGTTAAAGCACTGGGGTATTCCTCTGTGGTAAGCTCACGGATTAACACAATGAAGTATTATTTCCAGTTTTTTCAATCACACGCTACTTGTATCCAGATACACATACCATTAAGGAAACAGACAGATCAACTCACTCAGGTTTAATGATTCCATGGTTTGTCGTTATCATTTGAACATATCACTTCTGTTCTATTTAAGTCTGCTCACTGCAGGTAATCCAGGTCACCTAGCCACCCACTTAGGACACTGTTTTCTGCATCCCAACCCTCCAAAACAGACCTTTACAACAGAATAACAGAAAGCTATGTCAGTCCCGTTAGTAGCCAAGCACTGGTCTTTTTCAGTCCAAAGAGCTTTACAACCAACAGGAGCTGATGGAGCAAAGATAGAGAGCAACTGATACTGTTTGGATTCACAGTTTTCTGAGAACCACCCTTCCTTAAAGAGCAGAACTAATTAATATACTTTGCCAAGACCCACAGGGCAGAAAGTACCCCAACCCACCTTCAGCTGAGCTTCTACCACTTTCCTGTGAGGGTCACAACAATCTTTTGGACTCTTCCCAAGCAAATCTGTTCCTCTTCCCTGTTTCTACAAAAGCAAAAACCTGGAGCAATTCTTAGTGGGAATTCTTTTTTATCCATGCAGGATCAGAGCTTACTGTTTGCCTCTCTGAAAGAAGCTAGGATTTCATTTCTGAAGGCAAGTTCAGTATTGAAGGGAAGATAGTGAAGTCATTCACTCACAATCTCAGGCCAACCTTAGGCAGGTAGATTAAGGCAAGGACCAGAAAGAAAGGTTTATTTTTTATTCCTGTCAGGGCCAAAAGCAGGTTACTCAGGAAATCCCTAACATCAAATTGGTGCTCAGTGCCCTCTCCAGGACGATCACAAGTGGTGTGTGTCTAGATTGCTTAGGTCCTCCTAGGCCTAACTTGACCAAGCTTCCCAGTTTCAGAATGAACTCACTATTCTTTGGCCCTTTGGACTAGTGGAAAATGTGTCACTATTTTAAACTTTCTGATCCCTTTCCAGCCTGGCTTTATGTCCCCAGAGAATCAGGACAGCAGTGGACCAGACTCACAATGCGATGAGATAAAGAAAACAGCTGGTCACTGTACATGTTCAGCAGTTAACTGAACTTCCTTTAGAGTCACAGTTACTCCTTGCTCTGTGCTAGGAGCATAATATTAAAGCATCTTATTTTAAAAGATTCTCACCACTTCAACTTTTCACCTCTTACTCCTAATTAACCTCTCTCTCATCTTCTCTCAACAAACACTCCACCAGAAGAAGCCATCCCAACACTTTCAGTATCTCTAGAGCCAAGGATTAATGGCATTTGACAGAAAAATCCCGTCTCCAAGTTCACACAGTGAAGATATAAATGATAATGTAAAAGAAGGCAATAAAAGTCAGAGACTGCCCTTCCCACATAAAAGAGGCACAGAAATTTCAGGAGTTAGCAAAAAGGTATCATCTCTTGCCAGAAGGCCACCAGCTACCACCACTTGGGAGCCGCATTATCACTTGTTTCTCCTCTGGACTGAAATGTAAAATTGTCAGTATGGCTGTGAGTGTTTGCTGGCGGCCCAGGTTGTCAGACAAGGTCAGGAAGCGGTAAATGATGTTTTTGAGATACTCCAGGTTGGCTCCCTCCCTGCTCTGATCCCTGATGTTCTTTTCGATGTGGCTCTGAAGGGCTCCAACCTCCTCTCGATGCCGCTCCCCCTCCTCCAGCAGCCGTTCCTGCAGCTGATGTGCCTCCACCTCCAGCCTATGTTTCTGTTTCCTCAGCGATGTGATCTCTACCTCCTTACGGGCCAACTGCTCAGCATATAGGAAGAAAGTGGGCTCACTGACTGCAGCAAGTTGTAGTGCTTGAGTCAGGCTATCTGGGGAAGATGTGTCTGCTGGGTCCCCAGGACCCCCACTACCCACAGGGCTTCTACGTCCTGGCAGTCCGGAGGACAAGGCCACAGAACGCAGTTGCTCCAGCTCCAAGTCCTTCTCAGTGAGCACAGCTAGGGCACGGTCCCGCTGTTTGTGCAGCTCCTCCTCCAGTTTCAGTGTACGGTCCCTGAAGTCCAGCTGGCTGCGCTCCAGCTCCTGCCGGTGAAGCTGCTGCAGCCGAGCCAGCTCCTGCCTCCAGTCCTCAGCCTCCTGCTGGTGCTGGCGCTCGAGCTCCTCGCAGGACAGCCGAAGGGAGATGTACTTCTCCTTCAGCTCTGCAAGCTGCTCCTGGGCTACCTCCAACTCCTTGGCTAAGTTCCCATCTTTGGTATTCTTGCTCTTGAGCACAACCTGGGCCCTCATCTTGTAGCGCTCAAACTCCTCCTTCAGCTGCTTCAGCTCCTGTTGGTAGTAGAGTGCAGTAGCTTTTTCCCCATCTGCAGCCTCTGAGCTGGGCATTATCTCTAGATCACAGAGCTTCTCCACATCCAGGGTCACCTGACTTTTTCTGGCTGCAACCTGCAACAGCCTCTTCAGCTTCTCCATCTTATCCTTCAGGACATTGACATCCAGACTGGACTCATCTCCATGGCTCTCCAGAGGGGACCGGCTAGAGGCTGCAAGAGCCAGTGTCTTGTTCTCCAGGTCCAGCTGTAAAATGCGCTCCTTCAGCTTCTGGATGGTTAGCTGGTCCTTCTGCTTGGCTTTCTCATAGGTGCCCAGCAGTTCAGACACCTCAGATATTTGGTTCTCTAGAGCTGCTACCCTTTGCTCTTCCACCTGAGATTGCTGGCGGAGCTGATCCTCTGCAAGGGCTGTCTGCAAAACAAGGGAACAAACAAAAATGCATCCAGAAAAGCTACAAAGCCCTACAGTAAACTTTGGGGGTGAGGGGGGAAAGAGAGAGGAGCAAAAAGGTCACAGGATTGGGATGACCTGGCAACAATGGAAACTGGGGATTTTCAATATTAAGCTCCTTTGTACAGCTGTTCTTGTTCTGCTTTAGTTTTCCATCAAGCTTACATACAAAGTATGTTCCTGACGTTTATCATGTGCTTCCCCAAATCCTATTAAGAAATCATATAACATTCTTTTCCTTTTCCAATATTCCTAGAAATTCAAAGCTGGGTTGGATTTCTCTCTATAAAACAGTACTTTTCCAAAATTGGTAAATCTCAACTGAAAGCAATTTACAAGACATTATTTCTTCTGAGAAAATCTTCTGTGCCCCCTTCTCTACCTACAGACACATACCTCTAGGTATACACACTACCTTCCTTCCACTATACAGCTGCCACACTGTATTGCATCACAGATCAACTGGTCAGATGCCAATGCCCACAGTCTCAGAGCTGTATGGCTCAGATCCAGCCACACTCCAAAACTCCAAATCCTGTTAAAAGGACACACACAGAACAGGATTTCCCAGAACTCATCAGTAAGATTTTTCAGGTATCTTGAAAAATTAGAGTGCATGATGGCCATGGTGATACACACCTGTAATTCCAACACGCAGAAGGCTGAGGCAAGAAGATCAAAAGTTCAAAGTCAGCCTGGACTACATAGTGAAACCCTGTCACACACACACACAAAAAAAATCAAGAGTGCAGCCACTTAGTTTTAACTACCAAAGGAGGAAAAAACAAGAACAAAAGTCTAGTATTTCCCACTTTGGATTAAGAGACTAATGATTGAAGGAGATGAGGATAATTACCTTCCTTATTTCCTGCTGCAACTGAGCCTGGAAATGGCTCTTAAGGTGGGCAGCCTCTTCCTGAAGCACTTGCAGCCGGGGGTCTGGTCGATTCTTCTCATCTCTAATGGCCTGCAGCTCACCTTTCAGCTCCTCCACCTCCCGGGTCAGCTGCTTGGTCTGCAGTTCAAACCCTTCCATCTGATCAGCAGCATATGCCCGCCCTGCTAGGGCTTCTCGAGTCTCTTCTAACCGAAGCTCTAGGTCCTGGCGCTGGGTCCTCTCCTCCTGCAGCAGCTTCTGAAGCTCACGCAACATCAAGGCATGGTCACTCTGCTCTTGGGCCCGATCATGCTGTTGCGTTATAAGTCGGGCTTTGGTTTCTGCTATCTGCTCCTGCAGTCCCTTCAATTCTCCCTCCAGACGGCCCCTCTCTTCCTCTGCCTTTTTATTGGCATCCTCTAAGTCCTGTTTCATCTTCTTCTTGTCAGCCAGGTAAGAAGCCTCCATGCGGGACTTCTCCTGGGTGACTGTAGCCAAAGAACTGGTCAAAGTAGCCAACTGGGTCTTCAGTTGGTGCAGTCTTTTGTCCACCTCACCACCCACAAACAGCCCATCACCACTGCTACTGCTCACACCACTCTCAGACCCATTAGCCTCTTCGGACTTTGGAGGTGGAGGTCCACGGGACAGCCTCTCATCTTCTACCCCTAACTCACCCTTGATGCTGGTGAGACTGGCTGCAGTGTCCAAGCTAGTAGCAGTCCCAGTGCTGTCCTCACTATGAGTGGAGCACCGGTCATCCACAGAATCAGGAAAGGCGAGACCTGGAGGCTGGACACCTGCGAGGCCCACATCTGCCTCATGGGATACAGACAGCACCTTGATGCTGGCCTCGAGTGCCTCTTTCTCTTTCAACAAACTTTTATAGGCGCGGACCACATCCTTGAGCCGTGCCTGATACTGGAGAAGCTGCTTCTTCTGCGTCTCGATGGTCTCCAGGAGGTCCTTCTTGCTCGGGCCGCCCCCGAAATTCATCCCAAACTTTCCATGGGGGTTCTGGAGCGGGTTGCTCCACGTCAGCGTTCCGGCAGCCCGGGAGACGGCCGTGAAGTGGAAGCCCGTTGAAGAGGGCAGTCCGGCCGAAGGCCGCACCCCCGTCCCACCCCTCTGCCCAGAACCGGATGCAGGAAGGGGCCCAGGCTCTGGAGAGGGCGGTGGCAGGTCCTACCAGGGAGGCGGGGCGACGTTCGCGCCAGAAGAGCGCCAGGCCACGACCCGCCAGCACCGGCCGCTGCGCCGTCTCTGCTCCACCCGTACCCAGCAGCCGAGGTCGGGCCCCTCCGCCCACTGTCCACTAGGGGCTTACGCTGAGTTTGGTTCCTTCACCACTTCCTGGCTGCTGCGGCCAGCCCACAGCGGCGCGGCGCTTCCGGGTCCGCTGGAAGTGACGTCATCTCGACGCCACAGACTGCGCTCCCAGGGGCGCGAGGTGGGCGGGGCTTCTCCAGCCGGTGCGTGGGAGGCGGCCTGTTGAGAAGGCTGCTGGTTCGGAAGAGCGCAGCAAGTCCAGGACACCCAAGTGATAGTTTGGTAAGGGCGCCCTCGCTTGTCCTCAGGCTACCGTCAGCGAGCGACAGGGGGCGACGTCGCACTGCGTTCTTCCCAAACACCCAGGTGAACTAACTTCCAACTATTTAATGGGGCAAGTCACTACAGGGTAGCAGTTAAGACCACGGAAACTGCACCCTTTCTAGCACCGCGCTCGGTACCTAGTTGGCATATAGTATTTGCTATATTCGTTCTGAGTTGATTCAACAAATATTTATAGAGAGCACTGAATGCCAGCCATATGCCAGGGGCCTCACAAGAATTTTGCTGTTTATTCTTTATAAAAATGTGTTCAGAAGGTATCATTAGCCCTCTTTTGCAATTATGGAAACATAAGGCACAGAGAAGTTGTGTGACATGTCTAAGGTCACACAGCTACTAAGCTTAGGAATCCTATCTCAACCAGTCTGACTCAACATACTCAGTGCTATGCCAAGTGATCACATCGTAAAGAGGCATGGCCTGCCGTCAAAGAGCTCACAATATAAGAGGAACCAGACATGAAAACAAGTAGGTCCTGCTATCGTGGCCGTATGTATGGATATATTCAAAGTGGAATGGAAATTAAGAAGAAGGCCTCTGTGAAGAAAGCACAGAGGCTCTCAAGGAAAATACTTTAGGTTTAAAGGATTAGTACTGTTGCCCATCTAACTAGGGGAAACAGCAGAAAGGCAGGCGGAAAAGATTCCGAGAACTTCTGGGATCTCGGCTTGACTCACCCAGAAAGCATTAAGCATCTCTCCAGGCAGTAGCCTAGGGTATGGGAGGGAGGTGACAACAGGTAGGGCTAGCACAATAGGGAGGGACCCAACTTGAGGCATTTAGATTTTCACCTTGGGTGAAAGCAAGACACTAAAGGATTTTAACTTCAAAAGGGGCCCCCATCAAGACTTGTGTGACATTGAGGAGATACCAAAGGGCAGGAGAACTGTGAGGAGGCCCTTCAGTCATAGGAAGGGATGATAGTGGAATAGGGTAGTGACAACAGGGATGGAAAAAGAGGCTGATCAGAGGCCCTGTCATCATATTGGGAATCTTTTAAATGTAGACTTCTTAGGAATGAAAGTCTGACTGAAGCATAAAGGAAAGTCATGCACTCACTCCCAAAGCCCGCGCCGTACCCAGCTAGGCGCCCGAGCCTGAGGGCGGAGCTGGGGGCGGGCAGGAGGGGCGGGGCCGCATGACGTCGGGCGGGCCCGGACGCGCGGAGGCGGCGGCAGCGGTGCCTCCTCCTCCTGCTGTTGCGCCCCATCCCCCCGCGGCCGGCCGGTTCCAGCCCGTACCCCGCGTCCGTGCCCGCGCCCCCCGCCCCAGGCCCAGCGATGGGCCTCACCGTGTCCGCGCTGTTTTCGCGGATCTTCGGGAAGAAGCAGATGCGGATCCTCATGGGTGAGGCAGATCGACTGCGCGGCCCGGATCCGGGCGCCGGCCCCGCCGTAGCCCTCCCGCCCCCGCGTCCCTCCAGCCCAGCTCACCTGCCTCTCTGACCCCCAAGTCACCCACCTCTCAGGCCTCTGCGCTCGAGCGGGTCTGGGTCTGCAGTAGCGCTCCTGGGGCCTGAAACCCCGAGCTGCGGGCCTGGGTGGGGTGAAGCTTCCTCCGCCCTAGCCCGGCTGCTAAGAAGGGAGGATTCCGCCCTTAGAGACGACTTTTAAAAGGAACGCGGCCTTCTTCCCATACCCCTCGCCTCCCAGGCCTCTCCCGCCCCTCGCCCACTTTAGGGGCAGGAGTTGGCGCACGCCACCAGACTGCCCTTCAGGCCCCGACGGTGAAGAACAGCGCGCACCTGGAGCCGCTCCCGCTGTCTGCCCCCATCACCATCAGCTGGCCTAGCTTCTCCCTTTCCCTGGTCTCTAGGGGGCTCCCTAGCTCCCATCTCCATCCCTGTGCCCCTCTCCGTTGCAGTTGGCCTGGATGCGGCTGGCAAGACTACCATCCTGTACAAACTGAAGTTGGGGGAGATTGTCACCACCATCCCCACCATAGGTGAGCCCTGGGGCGAGGCGAGGGTCGGGAGGAGCGCCGTGGCGGGCCTTCTCTGGATCCGCTTCCAGTTGTGCCCAGACCCTTATCTGGAGCTGACCCTGATACCAGATACCGCTACTGAAGAAGTGGGTCACGGTATCTCTACGTGCCTGATGGTGACGGAGGCGGGGCGGATTGGCTTAGCCCCGCCCTGTTGTTGGTTGACCTGCAGGCCTTTTTGGGTTCTATTCCCAACTTGGCCTTGATCATTGCCTTCTGGTTTTGTATCCATGTTGAGATTCAAGTAGTTTTAGCGAGTGTCCTTTCAGGACTTTTTCTCTTTTTCCCCCCAACTTATCTGCAGGCTTCAATGTGGAAACAGTGGAATATAAGAACATCTGTTTCACAGTCTGGGATGTGGGAGGCCAGGACAAGATTAGGCCTCTGTGGCGGCACTACTTCCAGAACACTCAGGTGAAGTGTGTGTGGGAGCCCCCCATCCTCCCCGACAAGGTGTCGGTTGGAGCTAAAAGTACTGAGTTGTTAGGAAAACCTCCCTCTACTTATTCTCCAGAATTCACCTTAGAATGGTTCTGAGACTTCGCCGTATTAGACTTCTGGGAAGCAAGGTTCTGAGGACACACTGCCTGTTTAGCTCTCATCCCTGATCCCTTGCACATCTTTTAAATAGACTGCTTCCTCTTTGAGTGCCAAAGTGTTTCTAGTTTGTGGCAGGAGTTATGCAGAGCCTTGGTGGAAGTTTATTAGAGAAGGGCTGACACAACTAAAGATAAGAGAAGAGGGAAAGGCCAGGTTAGAGCACTACCCAGGTGGGAGTGATTCCTTCTCCTTTCCTTCCCACCCAGGGCCTCATCTTTGTGGTGGACAGTAACGACAGAGAGCGAGTCCAGGAGTCTGCTGATGAACTCCAGAAGATGGTGAGTATCTAAATACTGGGAACTGAGGCTTTGGCGTGGGCCAGAGAGATCATTGTGGTGAAGTCAGGGAACCTCCACAGGCATGGAAGGAGGGGAATATGGGTTTTTCTTTGTGGACATGAAACGCATGGTTTATCTCACCCTGTTTGAGATGGGACTTCTTTCTCCCTGATTTCTCATGCATTACATCTGAGTCTAAGAAACTGGTGAAGAAGGGGAGTTATATGTGGTAAAGAGAAATAGCACTTCATGTTCTTGATTTTTCCATTCGGAAATTTTGTCATTTTGCCTGCAGCAAGTTCTCAAATTTAGAAGTCCTTTTCTGGAATTAAGACTTAGGTGGCCTGAAGCACATTTATAAATAACTCTGTCTTGTGTTCAGCAGCAATAGCTAAAAGGCAAAAAGGAGGGTGGGGCTTCCCCAGCATACCCAGGGAGACCCTAAGGACCACTTTCTCTCCTCCCCTCTCAGTTGCAAGAGGATGAGTTGCGGGATGCGGTGCTGCTGGTGTTTGCCAACAAGCAGGACATGCCCAATGCCATGCCTGTGAGCGAACTAACTGATAAGTTGGGGTTACAACACTTGCGCAGCCGCACGGTAAGGACCCTACTGCCTACACACTGTGCCAAGCCTCTCCCAAGAGAGGCTTTCTTCAATGCTGCTGACCTCTTTCTTTCCTTCTTTCCACAGTGGTACGTCCAGGCCACCTGTGCCACCCAAGGCACAGGCCTATATGATGGGCTCGACTGGCTGTCCCATGAGCTGTCAAAGCGCTAACCAGCCAGGGGCAGGCCCCTGCTGCCCGGAAGCTCCCGCGTGCATCCCCGGGATAACCAGACTCCCGGACTCCTCAGGCAGTGCCCTTCCCTCCCACTCTTCCTCCCCACAGACAGGCCTCTGCTCCTGCTCCTGCCTGCATGTTCTCTCTGTCGTTGGAGTCTGGAGCCTCGCTCTCTGGGCACAGAGGGGTCTGCTCTCCTGCCTGCTGGGACCTGTGGAAGGGCTTCCTGGCCAAGGCCCCTTCTTCCAGAGGAGGAGCAGGGATCTGGGCTTCCTTTTGTTTTTTTCTGTTTGGGGTGTACCCTTGGGGCCAGGTTGCGGGGGGGAAAGTGAGGGCTCCGGGTGGTGCTATGATGTGGAACTGGATATTGAGTAATAAATTTGCTGTGGTTTGTACTCAGTGTTGTTTGTAGCCTAGAAGTGGGAGGCTGGATTATTGGGTGTGAAATGACAATAAATGGGAGAGGCTGAAAGCAGCTGAGACTGCAGGGTCAACACACACATACACACATACACACACACACACACACACACCCATCTATCTCAGCTACCTCCTTATTCTTGGGCTGGCAATCCCATAGGGTTTCCAGTGCCAGTGTAGCCCATTCCTTGGCTCTACGGAACATTATCTGCGGGCGACAGATTCTACCTTTATGGTTCCATAGACCACAAAGGTCCACTTCCCATCCTTTTCCTTACCACTTAAAGCAGTAGCTCTTTATGAATGCATTGTACACTGGGGCAGGAATGTGCATTAAAATATGGGTCCCAAGACACACTTCAGAAAATGATTCATTGGGACTTGTCTGACTCCCAACAATATACATTCCCTACAATTACCCAGATGATTCTGGCACTAGTCAAAATCTATTAGCCTTATTTTACCAAACACTGGCAGAACCTGAGTGTAGCAGTTCCTTGTTGTATACCACTGGGGCTCTTTCTACCTAGGGAGACCCCATCCTTTCTGCATACAGAATCAGAAAGTGCATGCAAGGTACCAGAATGGCGAACTGTTCTCCAAGTGGGGGTGACTACCTGTTTCCCTGTGGATCCCAGCAATATGTAAGCAAAACCCATCATACCCACCATTTTATTTTTGTTTTTCTCCCTTTTTTTTTTTCATGTTACCAGTTTCTCCAGGTTCTAGACTGAGGTTTCTCCTTGAGCCTGGCAGGAAGTGAGTCCCAGAGGCCATTAACAACAGAGCCTCTTTGGAGGAGAAAGGTTGGTCTGGTATCCTTATGGGCAGTTCTGGATGGCTGTCCAGCCAGTGACCTGCCCACCAGCAGTGCAGCTGAGGGTGGGTGAGGAGCAAGGTGTTCCCTCCATCTAGGCCATTCTTGCCCTGGGCCTGAGCCGGCCCTTCTGGATTAATATGAGTAATGGCCATCCTCACTGGTTTTCTGTCTAAGGGTTTCATCATCCTTCCAGCAAAGTAACTTCTGAGACATTTTGGCCTTGTCTTTCCCCTAAAAACAGATAGATTTTTCTTGACTATCTCGAACTTAAATACATACATATATGCATACATACATAATAAGGCTTGAGCCACAAGGAAGTCAGGCAGAACCCACTTCCTGAGGAGAAAAAGTTGATCTCTATCCTGTTAATGAGAAACAAAGAAGGAGAGGGACATGCCTAAAGTTGCAGATTACGGTTCTGATTCCTAGTCTTAGCTCAGTATACTTTATTGCCTGGAGGGACATAGGAAGGCAAACGCCAGAGGCTCTGGACTCACTTCCTCTGGGCCATGGATTGGTGTTGCTGGCCAGTGCCCTTTCCTCACTGTGGTGGGGTAAGAGGCAGCCCTCACAGTCACAATGCTCCCGGGTCACAGAGGTACTGGGCCTGGACCAGCCCTTTCCTATGAAGTTCCCTCTGTAGACATCTTCTGGTGGGTACTACGGGCCTTATTCCGGGCCATATGGCCTGTGGGACCTCGCCACTGGGGGGAAGGCTGGGCCAGACAGAGTCATCACCTGTGGTGCCGGCCCCATGGCTGAGGTGGAGTGGATACACAGACATCCCAAGGCTGAGGACCTAAGGATTGGGCTTATCAGCTGGGCAGGAACCTACCTCACCTTTGAAGCATATAAGAATACGATCACAGCTACTGCAAAGAGTTTGGGCAGGAGACAGGTAACTAGGCAAACCTGTATGGGAACCCGTTTCTGAATGCACAACAGTGTGTGTGTGTGTGTGTGTGTGTGTGTGTACAGGAGTACACTCCCAACCTACTAACCTTCCTAATCCCTACCATTAGCAAGCTAAAACCCTTCTATTCCAAGCTTTTGATGGTCTGCATTGCTCCATCTTCCCTCTCAAAAACTATTCCCCAGGATAAAGCCTCAGCCCTGGACTGGCTGCCCTGCCCTGTTCCAATTGCTCCCTACGCTCCATCCCAGAAAGAGTGATTTGGGTCATCACAACGAGAAGAAGTGAGACCCCAGGGGAAGATGGACCAGTTGGACGATAGTGCCACTAGGTTTCTGTTATCATTGTAGTCTGAGAATAGAGCATTCTAAAAGCCCTTGCAGATTTAGAGAGGATTATAAGCATCTCTGGGATAGGTGCTGGAGTGAGGCAGGAGCAAAATTCTCTCTCCTATAACAAAATTGACCACAAATCTGTTCCTCTCTTCCTCCCTGGAACCAGGCTGCACATAAGAGCTCTTGCTTTTCTTCTGCCCAGTAAGAGAGGCAGGCTCTAGGTGTAGAGAAACTACTGAGTGCGCTATCCAGGGACAGCAGTGAAGATGAAAGCTTTTCTTGGAAAATTAAGTCTTAAAGGATGAGACCAAGGAAAAAGGAATTTAGCTTCTGTTAGCTGGAGGGGGTGGGTATCTAGACCTTCTTTTTGGATCGTCTTCCTATGTTTCCAATGGTAGAGTGGCCCAGAGATCTTTCCATTACTGTGATTCAGAGGGTGGAAGAGCTGACATCAAGGAGACATGAGGGCATATGGGGAGGGGACAGTGGCTTGTCTTGCTGAAGGTGAGGTCAAGGGTAATGGTTGAAGGGTTCCTTTGTCTAGTCACTCATTTTCCTCTTCTCTCTCCCAATGCCTCCAGACCTGGGAGCTCTTGGTGAGCAATGAGCATGAGGCACAGGCTGTGGTACGAGTAAAGAGCTTGCAGGGTCTCTACCTTCTGTGTGAAGGGGATGGCACTGTGGGCTACGGCCGGCCAAAAACCAGCCACCATGGATGCTTCCTACTCCGTTTCCACCGGAATGGCAAGTGGACTCTCCAGTGCATACTCTCTGGTCGTTATCTGGAATCCGATGGTGAGGATGTGTTCTGCAACTCCCGGGTCCTCTCAGCTTACCACATGTGGACCCCTCGGCCAGCTCTGCATGTCCACGTGATCCTTTACAGCCCCATCCATCACAGCTATGCCCGAGCCGACCACACCGTGGGCCGGGTCTGGGTGGATGCAGCAATCCCCTGCCTAGAGGAATGTGGTTTCCTGTTGCATTTTCAAGATGGATGCTACCACCTGGAGACCTGTACACACCACTTCTTGTCCCATGTAGACCGACTTGTCCCTCAACCCTCATCACAGACAGCTTTTCACATGCAAGTGCGACCTGGAGGGCTTGTGGCACTGTGTGATGGAGAAGGAGGCACATTATACCCACAAGGTGCACATCTGCTCCTAAGCCTGGGCAACAGTCCCAGGAGGGGTGAAGAGTGGTTCATCCTACAGCACCTCCCGACCTGGGTCACACTCAGGTCAAAGACTCGGAAGTTCATCTCAGTCATCTACGGCAAGTGTTGGGTACAACACTACCATGGAGGGAGGAGGGGCCAGCTGCTGAAAAGAGGAAAATATGTTTGGAATCAGCACAAGTTTCTGAACCTACTCGTAAGGAAGATCCTGAGGTCCTAAGAAGCTCTCTTTTGTGGTGAAGGACAGATAAGCAGGGATATGGGCTTTAGGAGAAAACCACCTAGGTCTTCTTCAGACTACTATGGTCCCACAAAAGGTGGTTAAGGTTGAGGAGGGAAAGTTCAGGAAATCCCAGCAATAAAGCATGGTGGAGAGGCTGGGAATAAGCATGAGGCCAGACTCATGTACATGTACTTCTTCCACAGATACAGAAGTGTGTGCTGCCTCTGAGCACTTGACCCCAATGTCCTTGTTCCATTTGGCTTACCTTCAGCCAGTGCAATAAACTGTAAACCTCTCTAGACACCTTCTCCTCATTTGAAGCATCTCCTCATGTGTTTACGGCCATTTGTATATCATCTCTGTGAGATAACTGTTCACATATTTTGCCCATTTGTTATTGGATCATTTTTCTTTTTCTTTTGGTGGGTCTGGGATTTGAACTCAGGGCTTCGCACTTGCAAAGCAGGCACTCTATCGCTTGAGCCACTCCACGGGGCCTTTTTTTGTGAAGGGCTTTTTTGTTTTGTTTTTTGTACTGCAGCACTTTATTCTCCTTACACAATGACATGTTGCTGGGGCCTAATGTTCTCATGTAAAATTTGTCATCATCTCTTAAAAGAATTGAGTACAAAAAATCTTACATAAATTAAAAGGATGAATAAATTTACAGGTGTAAATGCAAACCATTTCCAACTTAAGGCAAAAACAACCCATGGCATTCAGGAAGAAAAAACACCGTTAAGAACGGAAATTGGGTCCTAAGGCTTGGTGAAGGGTTTTTTTTGAGTTAGGGTCTCATATACTATTTTCCAGGGGCTGCCTTTGAACCGCAATCCTCCTGATCTCTGCCTCCTGGGTAGCTAGGATTACAGGTGTGAGCCACTGTCACCCAGCTTGGGTCATTTTTTTTATTACTAAGTTGTAAGAGATCTTTACATGTTTTAAACTCCAGTCCTTTGCCAAATATGTGTATTGAAATACTTTCTTCCAATTTGTGGTTTGCCTTTTCATTTGCTTAATGTATTTTGAAAAGCCAGCTTTTTTTTTGGGGGGGGGGTTCTGCTTGAGCTGCCCCATTATTTTCGAAATAGGGTCTCACTTTTTCCCAGCCTGGACCTTCATCTCCCTAGTTTACGCTTCCCACCATAGGTGGGCTATGTCACCATACCCATTGAGATGGGGGTCTTGCAAACTTTTCCCCAGGCTGACCTGGAACTGCAATTCTCCCAATCTTAGTGTCCCTGTATAGCTTGAGAGGACAGACCCCCTCAGTGCTTGCCACTGAGCCCAGTTATTGGCTGAAATGGGGTCTCTTGACCTTTTTGTCTGGGCTGGCCTCAAACTGAAATCCTCCCGATGCCAGCTTCCCAAGTGGCCAGGATTACAGACATTAGCCACCGTCACCTAGTTGATGGTGAGCTTTTAATTTTGAGGTCAAATTTATCAATTTAAAAAATGTTTATAACTTTTTTGTCCCAGGTACTCATTGCCTATCCCAAAGTTGCAAAGAGTTTCTTTTGTTTTCCTCTCAATGTATTGTAGTTTAGCTTTCACTTTTATGTTTATAATCCATTTCAAAATAATTTTGGGGTCAGGACCAAGTTCATTTTTCTTCAGGGATATCCTGGTCCCTTTTTTCATGCCACACTGTGATACGGCACAGAGTAAGGGAAGTGGGAAAGCTGAAACCACACCTGCCGTCTAAAAAGGATCTGAAAACCCTGAGTTCAAACCCCTGTCCTACAAAAAAAAATAATAATAAATAAATATGATGAAAAGGATCTGAAGCCAGGCACTGGTGGTTCACACCTGTAATTCTAGCTTCTCAGGAGGCAAAGATCAGGTTTGCAGTTCAAAGGCAGCCCTTGTCAAATAGTACGCAAGACCCTATCTCAAGAAAAACCTTCACAAAAAACGGGCCGATGAAGTGACTCAAGGTATAGGCCCTGAGTTCAAACTCCAGTACCAGAAAGTCAATCAATTAATTAATTAATTAAATAAGAAGGATCTGAAAGCATAAAGAATATTCTAGGAGAATGTCAAATGACAAAGGCTGGAGATGGGGGCAGGTTCGATGAGGGAAAGGGGTCCAGGAATAAAAATGATGGAAAGGAAGCTGAAATTGTCAGTCCTTATTCCTAGTTTCTCTTCCTGATATTCTCTTCAGAGGCACCATAGGACATTGATAGCTGATGGGCACCCACTGGAGTCTGACACCTTCTTCCATGTGCACTGGAATTGTGGACGGATCATCCTACAGTCCTCCAGTGGACGCTTTCTAGGCATTGCACCCAATGGCCTACTGATGGCTAATGCCACCATTCCAGGTGAGCTGAGCATTCCTCTTGCCAGATTAAGTAAAATCAGGGATGTTTTTAGAGAGAACTGAAATGTAATTTTTAAAAAAGCACTGGAAGCTCTAGAGTCGAGGGTCAGAAGTTTTGAGTCTGCATACAGACCCGGCCACAGAATTATTGTTGCTAGAGCAAACCACCTCTTGGAGCTTCATTATGAAGGTGTCATCCATTCTGTTGCATCACAGGGTGGTTGTGACGATTAAATAAATTAATTTATCCCAGAAAGGAAAGAATATTTAAATTTCTTGGGCTACTCATTGTCCTAGGTACCCTCACAAACATTTCATCAGCAGCTGGCACAGATCTGCACATAGCCAGTTCATTAAATGTTTCATTTTTGTTTTCATGATGTTGGGAATTGAACCGAGGGCCTCATGCACTCTACCACTGAGCTACATCTCCAATCCCACTGAATGTTAAAATATTGACAACAGCCTTGGCAATTAGTGTTCCCTCCAGATTCCATCTGGGAAAATGCCTTTTTGTTTGTTTGTTTGTTTGTTTATTTGTTTGTTTTGGACCTACTGGGGATTGAGGTAGGCAAGCAGTCTACCACTTGAGCACCCCCAACTCATCCCTTCCTATTTCTTTCAGGTCCAAATGAGGAACTAGGGATTCGATTTGCCAACCGTGCCTTCCTTGTACTGCGAGGTCGGTATGGGTACGTGGGCTCCTCCTCAGAACATGATCTCATTCAGTGCAATATGGATCAGCCCGACTGCATTCAGTTACTACCCTGTCACCAGGGCATCTACCACTTCCAGGGTGAGTGGCTCCTTTTCCCTGCTCCAGGGCTTAAAGTCTAGCCCCAGACTTAGCTCCAGATCATACTTCAGGGACTGCTCATGGCTCATTGTAAAAGAGAAACAGAGTTTCTGTTTTCATATTTCAATGCTCCAGCGTGGGTTGACACAACAGGAACCAGTGGAATCCCTGCTGATCCTTCTGCATTTCCCTAGAAGGACCTTCCAAAACTGGCAGGATAGGGCTCCTCCATGGGAAGGTGTTTTGTCTCCAGGAAGCCCTCTCGAAGCCTGTACTACTGGAGGACTCCACTCCAAACGGCCCACCAACCTGAGCTCTTCCCTCCCCAGCACAGGGTGGATCCTTCTGGTCTATAACATCTTTTGGCACCTTCCGTCCTTGGGGAAAGTTTGCTCTCAACTTCTGTATAGAACTTCAGGGGAGCAATTTGCTCACGGTGCTGGCACCCAATGGTTTGTACATTCGAGGCGACAGAAGTGGCACCCTATTGGCAGACAGCGAAGACATTACCAAAGAATGTATCTGGGAATTTTAGGTAAGAGAAAGTGGGTAGGGACTTGGCATTGGGAGAGCAAGAGCTGAGGGGTGAAAGGAGAAGGGAGATGAGTGGGGAAGTGTGTGATGGAAAAAACAAAGTGCACTAGTGGGTTGATTTCTGTCCAAGATTTGATCAACTCCAGACATTTATTTCAAATCTGTGCCATCCCTTGCAGACTTCTGAACAAGTTTTGCGAGGGAGGGGAGAAGGAATCATTTTTAGCTTTCTCAGTATTATGCTGCACTCTGTGCTTGCAGTGAGTGTGCTTGCCTATCTATCTCTATCCTTTAAGATGCAGAATTTTAACTAGTTTTGGGGGGGAAATTTGGTGACCTTGGGAATGTATATAGGTGAATATAGAAGATGCGCTTTCTATCCTTACCCCTGTATCCCTGACCCTCCAATGTTTATCTCCAGCCCTGATCTTTTTCTGGAATTCCAACCTCATGTCTTTTCAATTTCCTGATGGAAAGTTGACTTAATTTCAGCTTTCCAGTCCCTCAAAATCAGTAGAGCTAGTTCAACCTCTAAAGGTGAATCTCTTCTGCCATCTCTTTTCTTCCTTCTTGGTCATCTCAGGCATTGCTATATTCCCAGATGATCAAGCTCAAGTCTTCAGCACTATCTCTCCATACTCCTTTTGCTCCCTTCATCAAACTCTGCAAATTCTTTGGTTCTTCCTGAGCATTGCCTCTTGAATGCTTGCTTCTTCATAATTACCATTATCATTCCAGGCTTTACAGCAAAAGCCTGCCCTTCTCCCATAGTCCTAGGCAGTACACTTCTCCCAGATTCACCCTTATCCAATCTTTTATCTACACCAACTTGACTTTCATAACATGCTGCTTCCCTTTTACCATTCTTTGTTCACAACTCTTCAGAACACCTGTTGCTCTTAGTCCTGTTCCTTTACAATCCATCTCACTTTCTGGCATGGAAAGTCACAAGGAATGTTGTAGAAAGCTCTTCAGGGGCTTTTTGTTGTTGTTTTCTTTCCTTTTTTCTTCTTAGCACTTCGGTTTTGGTATCAGACAGACCTAGAATCAAGAGTTAAGGAGCTAGTAACCTAGCTCAGTGACCTTAGAGAAATGGCTTTTGCTTTTCAAGGCCTCAGTTTCCTTATCCTAGAATATTGAAGTAATACTTACTTTGTAGGAATTGTGAAGTTAAAAGTCAATCTGAATTTAAATATAGACTCTGAGTGTATGTTCACTCTTTTCTCTCATTTTCAACCAGTTTTCTACATAACCCCTTTATTATGGCTAAACTGAGAAAAATTAAATGAAATCACACAGGCCTTCAGGGTTTTTTCTCTAAATCTATGTCATGAAGAGTTTAGATTGGTCTAGGTTTCTCAGGCTCCTTCCAAGCCTGACAGTCTAGTAGACAGTATATTGCAGTAAAGAGCTTATTTCTAGCCCTGAGTTCAAAACCCGGTAATGCCCTCTAATCACAACCCCCCCCCAAAAAAAAGAAAGAAAAAAGATTACACAAGATAATGAATGTATGATGCTGGTACCTAGTACATTATCATTCTATCAGAAGTCTCCAATCCAGTTCAAATTCTTAGTAAATTGGGGTAGGAGGTATATGCTCAATGGTAGAACATATACTTGGCATTCTTGAGGCCCTAGATTCAATCTCCAAAATTAAAACAAGACAAAAAGACAAATTCTTAGTAATCTTTCCTGTTGACTACAAGTCTTCCTCTAAACTCTGATGAGAGGTTTTATTGTTCCAGCCTTTTCTTACACATTAACTCTTCACATACCCCTAGTGTTTATCCTTCATCAAGGATGGTATAAATCCTCTCATAGGCTCTTATCTAATATTCTAAAAGCCAGAAATCAGCAAATGACTGACTGTCTGCTGAAGGTTTCTCTTCTTCTTCCCTCCTCAGGTCAATGGGATGCCACCTGCCAAACTCCAAATCCTCCAGGAAAAATTCCTGTACTAAACGGAACAGAAACCCCAGCGTCAAGATCCAAGAGAAGAATATCTGTTACACACCTTTTCCTACCCAGTTTAGCAAAACACCTGTTTCAAGCAACAATACATCACAACAGGCCACCCCCAAGATCCTTGTATGTATTTGACCTGGTAGAGAGTAGGGGTGGATTCATGAGGATGGAGTCTGAGTTCCTGGGCCTCTCTAAGTTAAATCCAGGAGAAAGGAGACCAAGTGATTACTAGTTCTTCCACTCCCCAATTTCTAACCAGAAACACTAAACTTTTCCTAGTGACTTGACCTGAAGGATTCAGAATCCAGATATGACTTTAACTGTCCTTTTGGTTTAGAACAAATGAGGGATTGTTAATCCTATAGACATAGGGTAATGGTAATAACACCTTTTGCCTATAAATCCCCCACACTCCCCCTAGGTGAGAAAACAGTTTACCAAAGTTCCTATCCTCTGATTACCTTTGATCCAGGGAAGTGGACAAAGAGAGATGCTTCTTCCACCATTTCTCATTTTTTACAGGGAGCTGGAATGCTTTGCACAAGGTCCTATGACTAATCACAATAGAACTAGGCCTCTAATTCAAATCTTCTGACTCTGATGCCCATTATTTTTTCCATCAAAGCAAGATTTTCAAAAATGTCTGTCCTTGCACTGTCTTCATGACTTTGGCCTTTATCTACCTACCACCCTCCCTATTAATGTTTCAATTGACATAGATTCTTAAATGCAACCATTTAGAAAGGAGTATTTTTATCACTATTATAAGGCAGAAAAACAAAATCTCTTGCTATAAGTAGAAAGTGACTATAAAAATAAATTCAATGAAAACCTAGCTTAAAATTCCCCTCCCTGCTCAAGACTCAGAGCCTAAGTTTCCTTTCTCTTTGTTAAGAAAGGAGATTAGCAACCATTAAAGAGGCACTAAATCCCAGTGTAGGTGGCTCACATCTGTAAGCCTACCTACTCAGGAGGCAGACATCAAGAGGATTGAGGTTCAAAGGCAGCCTGGGCAAACAGTTCCTGAGACTTTATCTCAAAACACCAACACAAAAACAGAGCTGGTGAAGTAACTCAAGTGGTAGAGTGCCTGCTTAGCAAGCATGAAGCCCTGAGTTCAAGACTCAGTAACCCCTCCACCAAAAAAAAAAAATTACATATATATATATGTATATATATATATATATATATATGTATATACATATATATATATATGTGCTAAATGGACCAAAGTGGAACTTGTTCCTGATGCAATCAGAACTAAAAGGGAGTTAAAAAGGAAATAAATTTCTCACTTCTGACTCACTATTATTTAAAGCAGCAGCCACACACTGCCTAAAATGTTCCCAAACACAGCAGTAATGTCCCCCACTTTGGGAAAATTGTCCCATACCATAATGAGTGCCTAGCTTTTAGTTCACTCAGAAAAGAAGGCTGAAACAAAAATATGAGACTCAGTTTGGATAGAAGAAAATGATCTCAGGTTTCTGTAAGTATATTTGTCCTTTAGAGATATAAAAGAATTTTTTTTATTTAATAAGTGGAGATTGAAAACACTAGAGACTAGGCATCTCCTTTCCTAGAGAGCATTAAGCACAGGCCAATGCCAGGTGTGGTGGAGTGTGCCTATAGTCCTAGTTACTCAGGAGGCTGAGACAGGAGGGTCACTTAAGCCCAGGAGTTCAAGACCATCCTTGGAAACATAGTGAGATCCTGCCTGAAAACAAGTCCTATCTAGAGAGTGGGACTCTGGAGATCATTTAATACAGAATCTCTTTGTCAGCATTCATAAATACATATACACACTCAGCTGCATAGGCACCGTGTATGCACAGGGATACATATGTGCATGCAAGTGCATGCACGCAGACATACACACACTATCTTATGCCCAAAACCCCACAAGTGGCCCTTCATCTTTTACTTGAATGCTTTCAGCCATGGGGCCTCAGCTGAAACAGCTCCTTCTGTCACCAACATTGGTCCTGTCACTGAACTGAATGGCTTGTCCTCAGGCTGTGTTGTGCAGATTTTTACCCCATAAAACTTTGCCAGTTTCCCTGGGCAATTCTGTGCGGCAGGGCTTCCAGCTTGAAAGCAGAGAAGGCAGGGCAGGGGCAGAGCGTGTTCTATTCAAACTGCATCTAGAGCTGTACTATTCCATAAACCTCTCCGTGCTGATGGAAATGCTATAATCTTTCCTGTCCGACACAGTAGCCCTGAACTACATGCAGCATTTGAAATGTGGCTAGTATGGGGACAAGCTGATTTTTTTTAAGTTTTTTTGGGTGGGACTGAAGTTTGAACTCAGGGCTTCCCACTTGCTGAATTTCTTTTTAATTTAATGTGAATTGCAAGTAAATAGCCACATATGGTTGTTCTGTAGTTTCTGAACAGCACACAACTTTGGAGCATTTGATAATAAAAAGAACTTTTGAATAATAATTTCTGGATCAGTGCCTGTTCCAGATGGGAGTAAATAGACATGTCTCCATTTCTCCATCCCCATCCCTCTTGGCATCATTATTATCTATCCCCTAGCCTTCAAAAGAAAAGGATTTTCCAGGCATGGTGGTACACCTCTGTAATCCCAGCATTAGGGAGACTGAGACAGAAGGATTTACAGCTTGAGACTAGCCTGGGCTATGTAGCAAGACCCTGTCTCAAAAAGAGAGCTAAAGAGAGAGACAGACAGACAGAGAATTTGGAAGTATCCCTTTCTTCACCTTCTTTTCCCTGTTTTCCTCTCTTTCCCCATATCCCAAAACTATCCAGGAGGACCCTAGAGCTTTCTCTGCAAGGGGACAGATTTGAGAAGATTAGTAGCTTATTGGCAAGTAGACCATGTCCCTGGAGCATGTGTAAATGGAAAAGCAGAATATGAAAAGTGCCATTTCCACTCTGTTGCTATGACAAAAATACATATGCAATTAGAGAATTGATGTCTACTTTCTTAGATTAAGGAATTATAGTAAATTTTCTTAGGTGTGGATATGCATCTTGGTTATGTAAAGAAAAGTTCCTTATTTTTTGGAAATACATGCTGGAGGACTTAGAAGTGAAATGTCATGATCTAATAGTGTGTGTGTGTTTGTGTGTGTGTATGTACATATATGTGGTCCCAGAATCTAAACAGATCAATAGATGGTATATCTACATTTATAGGATATATAGATACACAATAGGGTAGGTGGACATATAGATACATGTACACATAAACTATATGGTAGATGGGTGGATGGATGGATGGATGATAGGGAATGTTTGTAATTGTTAAACATTGGGGTGTGCATATGGGTACTCATAGGAAAAACAATGAATAACAGAAACTACTACTAATTAAAAATGTTTTTATTACTGCCTAGTGGAGGCCTCTCATGGCCACGGTGAGTAGTGTGTGGGTGTTCCTTCTCCATCCCCTCCAATCAGGTGCTGCACAGGGAGGGCAGCGAGGCAGGGCCAGGCAAGGTCCACACTTGAGGAAGAAGCCCCAGGAAGGAGGAAGGAGCCGCAATCTGTGGGCAAGGCAGTAAAGACAATGGACAGATGGTATTAGATCCTACCCAGCTCCTCTGCTCTTCTCTCTTGCCTCATTCCAGGCCTTACATCAGTGAGGAGCTAGGCCAGAATAGGTCCTGAGGACAAACAAGACTGGTGACAGGAGCCACAAAGATGGGAGCTTAGGTTTACTCCTCCTACCCCACCTCTCAGAGTCACTGACTGGGGGGGAGGGCTGTGGCTGAGACATCAGTTCTCTACCCTGGGTATACACACTCAAATCCCAATCCCACCCCCTTTACCAGTCAGTGCTGACACTGGCTGTCAGTGGTACTATACTCAGAGGATACTAGTCTCTCCAGATTTGTGGGCCACACAAAGAATAAGCATACTGAGGTTCACGTGGTGGCCCTGACTGGAGGTCTGTGCCCTCCTGTCCATCAAGAAGTCAGTCAGCCCTTCCCACACCCTGCAGGATTGATGCATGGTCTTAATTCTTACCCCAGCAAGGCTGGAGACAGGCTTGATGTGTGGGATCACACGGACACCTGTCTCGTGCTGTCTCCCAGCACAGCTGATAACAAGAAGGACCCACAGGTTCCAGGGAAGGCAGGGTTGCTGTGGGTATACTGCCAGGGAACTGCTAGAAAAAGCAGGAGGAGATCCCCTCAGCTGCCAGTGAGACTTCCTGTTTATAAGGCTGGGGACCCAGAACCATCTGCTCCTCAGGCTGTGTCCTGCACTCCAAAGGGCACCATTCACAGAGTAGACGAGAGATGGCACTTTCTAAAAATGTGCACTGTGGGGTCCCTGGAGAGTCATGGATCCTAGCTCAGACCTTCCCTCAAAATGGGAGAGGCTATGAGCCCTTCAAGCCCTTTAGTCTTCCCAGTTCACAAATCCCCTTCTCCAAAGTACCTGAGCAGAGATGATCCCTGGGGGAGCCCTTGATATGATCACATCCTGAGAAGCACCTATAGGGTAAGGGTGGATCCACTCAGAGGGAGGAATTGAGGCTGGGGCAAGGGGTGTATGGGGCAAGGGGTGTATGGTGAAAGGCATGTGGCTTCTAGAAAAGATAGCGACTCCTTGCAGAGGTGGAGGAGATGAATGTCACAACTCTAGATGACCCTCCTTCCCAAAGCAGGGCCTTGGGAAATTAGAAAGAATTAAATCCATGGCTTTGTGCTGGGAAGAGTGCAACCCATAAGAGCAGGGACTGTATATGCCCAGCACCCAGCACAGGGCCTGGAACATTGGTGGTGCTGTGTAAATGTTAGATGGATAGATGGATGGGTAGATACATAGATGGATGGGTGGGTAGATGAGTGGAGGGTAGGTGGGTGGATATGCACAGAAATCACCTGGTAGTTGCATTTCCCACTTCAGCTTCTCTTGCCGGCGCCATTTGGCTCTTCTGTTGGAAAACCAGACCTAAGGGGAAATAGGGACAATATAGCTGGCTGTGCTTTTGGCCACCTGGCATCTGCTATTACCATGTGATTCTGGCCTGGACTCAGAATGTAGAACTTCCGTGGATCTGCTGTCCTCTCTCCCTGCTCTGGCCTTTGTTCTCTGTCCCTTTCCTCACCTCAAAGGTGGAAAAGAGAAGAGAGCAATCAGTTAAGGAAAATAAGGTTTCATCCCTGATTTTTGCTCCAAACAAGTTTGTTGCCACCTCCTTACTTCCCTCTCTACCTCACCAGAACCCATAGCCCTGGCCAGTACAAACTCTTCCTCCTTGTGGTTTGTGTACACCATGTCACAGAGTTTGCTCACCCTCACTGTGTCCTCAGGTAGAGAGGTGGCAGCAGCCAGCTTTCCACGGGCCACTGAATCAGGATACCGCCCACGCTGGAACTCTGCAGAGACAGAGACTCACACAGAGAGGGCAAGGTGGAGGGGTAAAGCATGGGTCTCCTTGTAAGGGCCCTACTCCCCACCTGTAAACCCTAAACTTACTTCCTGTCCAAAGCAGAGCCGCCTTCAACCTGTACCTCTCAACCTTTGTGCAAAGGCCTCAGAGCTGCTACCCCCAAGAACCCCTGCCCCACCACTGCCCAGCCCAGCACCTTTCTCCAGGGCCTCAGCTTGGCCTGGGGAGAAGATAGTCCGATTCCGGTGGCCATTCCCTGGGTGAGGACCCCGGGGAGCCTCAAGGCCACTATGGGGAATAGGAAGAGCTGGAGCCAAAACAGCTGCAAAAGAGGACAATGTCTTGTGGTGGTTTGTGATGGTGACTCCTATAGTCAGATGGGGTCCTTGCATCCCTGAGGCTATGACTAGGAAACAGCATGGACATAGCAGAGCCCACTGGTGCAGCATTCAGTTACTTGGCTGTGGCTATGGGGCACTTGATGGGAAGTGAGCTCAGTGCCATGGTGATGTTTGGGAGAGCAGCAGCAGGGGTGGTCCAAGTTTACATGATCCCATAGAACACAAAGGATGCTCATGTGGGAGAGAAGGGTGTGGAAAGCCAGTCCTGCCTCTTTCTCAGTAGATCTTGTGAACCTCAGGGTTAGGAGACCTAAATTCTGTTCTAAGACCTGCCATCAATTAGCTGGTGACATTGAGTAAGTCGCTTTACCTTACTAAAACTCATTTTTAGTTTGCCAGGAGAGAGTAGGAGTCTCTGCCAGGCCCTCTTTATAGGGTTTTTGGAAGAGTGATTCAAAAAAGAATGAGAAAGAACTTTGAGAGCTATAAAATGCTCAGGATTTGACTCTGATTATGTCTGGGGCAACTCTTAAGACGCACCTGGTGATCTGAGCTGTGCCCAGTGAAGTCTGTGATCTTCCTGTAGTGTTCGCAGGACTCGATTGATGGAGGAGACCTGGGAGTTTTGGGTGTTGGATGTGGTGATGGTGTACAGACACAGGATTGCATCCAGAGGATGGTCTCCAACATACACATCATTCCCAAGGACTGCTTCCTCTCTCTCACCATGTTCTCTTTTCCTCATCTCTCTCACTACCACCATTTTTCATAAGAGAAACTTATGGGTCAGAAGGTCCCAGATACCCAACCCACCAGCCTGTGATGCCAGGTTCCACAATGTCAAGGAAAAAGGGCCTCTTGTTCTTACCATACAGCCTGTTTACAAGCTCCAGGATAGGGAGGGAGGGTACTTACACTGGGGGTCTTTTCCTGAGTGCAAAGCCCTTCAGCACAAAGCTGGCGTTGGATCTCCCAGGCAAAGAGGGCTGGACATTCATCCTTCAGTTGGGCGATCCGAGCTACCACTGGGGGTGTGGCCAGACGTGGCTTGCTCCCCCCAATACTCTTGGGTTCCAAGGCACCTGTGCGGTAGTAACGCCCTAGGATCTTGCTCACACAGCCATTAGATACCTGAGCCAGGTAAGAAGTAAAGACAGGTAAGACATGATGGGCAGAAGGACAATGAGTGTTCCTGGGACAAGGCAAAGTAGGATCTACTAAACCAAGCCATGGAGTTGAGAATCTAGCCTCACTTTTTGGTGCCTAAAGCTCCCCTTCCCAATCTCTAAGAGAGTATTTTAGGAGGAAATCCTCATAGTTTGTAACAGCCCCAGCCTCTTGCCTTCAGAGGGACTTCTTCTCCCTGCTTCTTGTTCCCATTACTGGGTGAAGGACTTGACACTACCTTAAGACTCCGAGAGATGTCGCAGGGACGCATTCCACTGACTGCAAGCTGCACGATCTGCTGCCGGGTGTCCAGAGGCAGGGGCCGACCATTCACAAAGAGTCCCCCCAGCTGATTCACGCTGCTGATTCCTGGGCATGAGAAGTAAGCACTACCTACCTCCACCCGCAGTATATGCTGACTTTCTTGATCTAAGGGAAACAGGGTGGAATGGAGATGGAGTGACTGGAAAAAATTCCTCCTCCAGAACATTGGCCAAGGGCGGATGAAATCATGTGAGTGGAAGCAAATCTCTAACTCCCTCCCCATTCTTCCCATTTTCCCAGGCCTCTTACCATCCTGCTGCATGCTCCAGGCTAGCCCTCCTCACAGAAGTTCAGGAAGACAAATGGGAAGGTTGAGAAGGGGAGTTCCTTCTAGGAGCTCCTGTTATGGCTTGGGGGCAGGGTCTGCAATAATAGAAGGTTATTTGGGAAAGGTCTCTTGCCTAAAATGTTAATGTGATGTAATGTTTTGTGATTGAGTTAGGTTTCTAAAATTTGCCAGTAGGTTGGCTAAAAGTAGAACATTAGAGTTAAGTTTATTTAATCTCTTATGGGATGAGCAGCACAGGGCTGCTGAGGACTGGATCTTTCTAGATAGCCTGATAAGGGATAGGAGGGTGGGAAGGACCTCATTTCCCACACATCCATTACAGAAAGTTAGGTATGTGAAAAGGATTGATGTGTCCTAGTGGTCAGCCTGTGTCTTTTCCAAATGAGCAACTCCTGCCTCCTGCCAGGGCTCCTCAACCCCTGGCTTGAACCAGAGGTTCTGCTGTCCTCAAGTTCAGGACTTCACCTTCACTATCAGACAGTCTTGGGTTAGGTTCTCCAAACCACCAGTCAAATCCTTCGTTCAGAGCATTCAGTGGAAGGACTTACTTCTGTTTTTCATGCTTTCCAGAAGCTCTACTGGGATCTGACCCCACACACTGGAAATAGAGATAAATCAGCCTGAAGTGCTGACTTCTCCTAGAGACACATTTATTGGCAGCTTCTAACCTGAGTGTTGGTTCCTGTAAACTCTGAAGAGTTCGAGATCTCACAGGGAAGCTTGACTTTCAGAAGCCACCATTCTAGGATCATGCATTCATTCAACATTTCTTGAAGACATAATGAAGGGAGGGAGGGAGAAGCAGGAAAGGGCTTTCTGTTGGCTGATGCAGAAGCCATCTTGAGTACAAGAGAGTTTCTGAGCAGCAGGGGACATAGACCACAGGCCACTGTCTTTCCTGCTTTCACCAGCAATTAATAGGAGTTGAAGCTGCCTCCTTTCATGCCTGGAATCTTGGCAGGGCTGGAGGTGACGCCACAGAACAATTTATCCATCGAACTTTCCTGCAATAACCATGCTCTCTTAGCTCAGTTAACTCCTCTGCTCAGCAATTACTGAGCAAGCTACTAAGCATGAGCACCTGACTGCTTGTTCAGGATGAAGGGAGCAAAAAGGAAAGGGACAAGGTCTTTGCTCCCCAAGAGATTGCTGCGCAACAGGGAGAGGAGACAAGCGGGGTGAAACAACAGTGAATTATAATGAGTGTGGAATCCAGAACCTCCAATAGCTAAATTGGTTTTTATTCACTCCTATATAGGCAGGTAGAAATATATTCCCCTTCAAGCTCTCATCTTTCCTGAGAAAGAAAGCAGAGATTTTTTTCTTCAAAGAAAATTGAGGAGCAGACTGGGGTTTCCACAATTCAGGGGCCACCCAGAGAGAAAAACTCAAGCTTCAGAAGTCAGTTCCTTAGCAGAAGTCAAAATTTCTGGCTCCTAATCTTGGAACCCTCTTTTTCTGTCCCACTTCTGCCCCACTTCTGCCCCACTTCTGCCACCAAAGTAATGAAGAGAGGAGAGTCAAGCTGGGAATACAAAAAGCTATGCCAGAACAGAGGTATAGGGGCTCAAAATACCAGACAAACCCTGAATCCTTGATAGGTCTCTGTTCCCCTATGTGACCCAGAGCTCAAATTAGCTGTGGGAACACAGGTTCAATATCCCAAACCTAAATAATCTCCAAATCAAAAATAATCATGCCCAGCTCACAAACGGAAACCACATTCCCACCAGCCTCCCCACACATTCCCAATACTCATATTAACTTGTCTGAAAAAATAACTGGTACTCATGAGAAGAAAAAGCAGGATAGGGGTTGAAAGGAAAGAAGGGTGGATAGCTGCAAAGACACAGGGAGAGAATTGGGCTTGGCCACACAAAGACATGGAGGCAGCATGGGAGGCAGAGCAGACAATGAGTCTGCAGGTGAGCTACCTTACTGGAGGAAATGAGATGGGAGCTGCAGTGGGAGGTCTCAGTCTTCTGTGCTGGGCTCCTGAGACCCCTACAGGCTCCAAGGGTGCTGGTGGTCTGATCCTGGTAACAGTCTCCACTCTGCTCTTGCTTCAGTCCTGCCAGGGGGTCCAGAGTTACAGAGAGCCCGGACTCAGGAACAGAGGGCAGCCTTCTGGGAGCAGCCAATGATGTCACAGGCCATGAGTAGAAGAGAGAGGAGGAGGGAACTGTGCATGAGGCTGACTGACACTGGCCCTGAGGCAGGGCAAACCACAGCCAATGACCTACTGTGTCCTTCGTGGGGAGTCCTCAGTGCCCACCTTGTATCCATCTACTCTGAAGCCAGTTCAGAGCCATTCTCATGCAGGCCCCCTAGACCCAGACTATACTCACACAGGGGCCAGTACTCCTGAAGAGCATAAAGAACATGGAAGATGGGAACCTTAGACTATGTATCCAAAGTGCATAGAAACATAAAGGAGCCTTCCAGAACTACTGAGGTAGCATCCTAACCAGAATGCATATGCCTGAGCTTTTGAGTCAGTTCTTGGGTCATGTGTGTGATACTATAAAACATAAAAGGATATGTAGATGATTCCTAAGTACAGACTGAGTTGACTCCTAAAACTGAGAAAAGGAAGGTCAATTGAGAAGTGAGTTTGTCACATAGCACCGGTTCTCTTCAGAGAATGGCCTCATTAATTCTCTGACTGACTCCTCAACTGAGGTAATATCAAGGGTGTGTTCTTGCCTGGAAACAGAAGCATCCTGGACTTCAGAACTGACCAGGTTAGTGGTGGTAGGAATGAGTCTCTGAGAATAAATAGAGATGCATGTTGGGTATTTATGAGGAGGTGTGCTACTTGGTTTTCCTTCTTCAATGTCCAGATGTTTTCAGGCTCCTTTCCACTAGGGATTTGTTGCTTTTTGACTCTCAGTCATCAATGACACTGCTGTTCCCACAGACACTATAGATTATCTGGGACAGTTTTGGGTGAGAGCACCAGTGGCTGGGTAGGTTGTTCCTGCAGAGTAGATTGCTGGAAGTGAACGTAGCCTCCAGTGCCTGGAAGCTTTGTTGCCACCACTGTTTTGGATAGAACTAACGGAATATGAAGAAGAAACTGTGGAAAGCCCTTTTGGTCCATTCTATACCTCAAATTCTGTGATTCTATCATAGAAGTCAGTATGGAGTAAGCAGTGTATAAGGCAGTAAGCCTAGGCCCAGAAGTCAGAGAAGGGAAGAATGGATCTCTTTGGTAAATGCTTTGGGTTTGGAGAGTGGAAGTGGGTGTTGACATTCAACTTGAAACTCTGTACTCAAAGACCAAATGTTTCAAAGAAGTGAGCTTCCACCTTACCCTGACAAGTGTTCCCCTTCTTTTCAAGTCCCCTCCAGCATCCTCAAGCTGGCCCAGAACCCTGAAGCACAGAGGAGACTGCAACAAGTGGTTTCAGCACCATAAGCAGGACAGCACATGCCCCAGGGCAAGAAGAGCCCACTCCATCCCAGGGTAGCTGGGGGCTGCTGGTCACTCTGCTTAGCTGTACCTGGTGAAAGGAGGTCCCCAGGAAATTATGGGGGTATCCCTGCTTTTAGTATCCCTTTCCTGTCTCATCCCTCCCCCCTGGATCTGCACTTGGATCCAGGGCTCAAGGCTCATGTCTTGACTAGCTATTCCCATAGACAGCTGCATGAGGGTGGAGATAGGGGTGTCAGGGGGGAGAAAGGACAAGCCCTGGCAGATGGTGGTGGCAAAGATTTCCCCCATAAACTACCCTTTCCCTCCGCCTTTACAATGGGGCTCTCAGGTCTGAACAAACAGAAGCTTTCGACCCAGAGGTGATGGGGGAAGGAAAAAAGGGGAAAGGGCCCTGGCGGGGGGCCTAGCAAGCCAAAAGGCTCAGCCGCTCAGCCCTCTCCCCAGCGCGCCAGACTGTTTGAGGAGCAAATATCTACCTTCACTGTCTGACTCTCTCAACTGCCCCCACCGGGTTTGGGGCTAATTGTCCCTCATTAGCTGGGCCCAGGACCCAGGCTGCCGCCAACCCCCGCCATCTGCTCACAATTATACATTAACTCAGAGGTCTTGCCATACGCCAGCCAGGCTGTGCGCCCCTCTCCGGGGCCAGCGATGGCCACTTCAGCCTGTTCCTCATCACGGATGTAGAGCCTTGATCGCTAGCTTTTTCTGCTCTTGGGAGCCTCTGGTATAAGGGCTTGTGGCTGTGGAAAAAGACCTGTCCACCGTAGAAGTGGCTGGAGTTCCCCTGCCTTCCTCACTGGGCCAGAAGGCGAACTAAATCCGTGCGTAAAGCTGGAGAGGATAAGGGCGCGTCCAGCGCATGCACAAGCTGACTTTGTTCTGACACCAAGCTGCAAGCTCTTGGCACCTGCTGGGGGACGTGATACCAGTTCCAGCCTGTGTCATCCCTCCCTGTTAGCGCCTTTTAGTAGGCTGTAGGGTCCTTGCCTGTGTCTTCTCTTCAAAGAGTCCAGTCTCAGGTCAGCCCTCAGCCTTCCAGAGCGCACACGTCATCTATCCAAAACCAGTCTCCGGTAGCGAGTACATTCCACTTTAAAGTCCAAGTGGTTTGTTTCCTTGCTACAAAAACGTGGGGTTCTTCGAGTTCCCTGGATGTTCCTGAGCTTGGAACATTCACGCGAAGTTGCATCACCTCTCCTCCCCCAAAAAAAGCTTTGTGCGGTCACTTTACTCTCTCAGCTCCAATTCGACAGGACACCAAAACTCTCCAACTGCAAACCCCCGCGGTTTTGGGCTCAGCTTCGAAAAGGTTGGCACCTGGCTCCCTCCCTCTGATTACTCCGGCAAGGCACCGTAGATCACACCTTCCTGACCAAGACTTTGAACTGTGGGCACAGGAAAAAGTACTCTTCTCCCAATTCTTTTTCTTTTTTCTTTTTCATTGAGCCTCCAGCCTCTGAGCCCAAAGCTGCCTCATGTTTGTCTGGGGGCTACAGTGGGACGGGTATGTGGTGAGTCTTCATTGCCTTAG